TTGAAAAAGACATCGTTTATTTACAATATTTCGTGTCACTGTGTGTTTCTTGTAAAGGACTAAAGGGAAATAGAAGGGGAAAAAATAAACCCTTTTAAACCTGGTATGAATGAAGCACCTTTAAAAAAGTGGGATGTGGAATTTCCTATTTTTACAACGTATAACTACATGTACAACGAACCATCATTTCGGGTCTCGCCTTTATGTTTCGTGGTATTGGTTCATTCACTCGACTAGTTAATCCAAGGGTTGAGGGTTCCAATTTGCCACTTTTTACCCAGGTGTAAATGGGGACCTGGCAATTGTTGTATGGCCATCAGAATGAACAGCATTGATGATCGTGAGGCTTTCCGGGATGAACGTTAATGTTAATATTATTTTTTTTAAATCATTATTATCATTTTGTTATTATCATTTTCATTTAATAAGTTTCAATTTATACTCCAATCAATCGAAACTCCACTTGATTTAATTGGATAACTTACAATCGATTCGAATCAAACTAACTAATTAATTGACGAGAGTCTTGAATTAATTCATATCACACATACACACCCACACATGCACATACACACCCACACATATATATGTATATTCATAACAATATATAAATGTAAAGCAATATAACCTATACAACTCCTTTTGTATCTAAGTACAATGTAACAGGAACTGAGAGAATAATGGTTGCGTAGCTTAAATCAAAGATTCCGATTACTGGACTCCCTTTTGGAAATGTTGGCAAAGGTTGAAAAAACGTCTCCGCCGGGAATCTAACACAGGTTACAGGCTTAGAAAGCCAATGCCTTTACCACTAGACCACGGAGACGGGCCAGTGGTTTCAATTGACCGACATATTAAAAAATGTTCAACCTTCATTAATCAATTTCTTTGTCGGTGGCATATTTAAAAATATTAGCAAAAAAAAACCGAAAGAGAGGACTGCAAAGGCGAACTTTGATTTCAGCTAGGCAACCACTATTCTCTCCTTTCCTTTTGCATTGTAATTATCCCCACGGGAGTTGCCAAATCCTTGGTAGAAGTTATTCCTTACACGCACGCGCACACACACATACTTTTTTTTTTTTTTTAACAATTTTGTTTTATTTCTCCAGATGTGTAATACAAACCATGACATACAATTGAATAAAATAAACATGTTCAATATTGATGCTTTTACATAAACAGAATTAAACACAAACTTATTTGCAGTATCATATAACTTAGTAACAAAGTAAACGTATAAGTACCTAAACATAATATGTCAATTGTAAATGTTATTTACTTATATATTACAACAAAAAAAAAATCTGGAGATAATTTTACTGAAACAATCCTGCCCCCTCCCTGCCCCCTCCATCACACAGACATACTCACCCTCTATCACACAAACATACTCACCCACTCACAACACACATACTCACCCACCCACCCACCCACCCCCCCCCCCCCCCACACACACACACACAGTACTCACTCAATGGATGTCTGCCAACATTCTCAACTTAAGAAAAATATACTAAATAAGTTATCCAGGCCGCAAAATCGAGTTACGCTTTTAACAAGCTCACGGTGGAGAAGAAAGCAAATCTTAATTAATCTTAAGCTGCTCCCACTTTAAAAAATGTGATCCTAGCTTTCCCATTTTAATTGCTATTTTCTTTTCCTCATCCCTATACTTAAAAATGCTTTTTTTCATCTTTTCTAAAGTTAGTACTCGCCCCCCCCCCGATCTTGACATACACACACACACACACACTAACGCACACACACTAACGCACACACGCACACACACACACACACACACACACATATATGTATATATATATATATATATATATATATATATATATTGTCACCCAAGGGAAACACAAAAAGTACCCATTGTAGACGGGTGGCCTTTATAGAAAGGTGGCCACTATTGCAGGACTGATTGAATACGTATACACACAAATATAAATTCTATAAACGGAAAAGCCGACATGAATTACATTAGTTTTAATCAAATAATTTTAATCAAATCACTTGAATAAAGTGCCTGTGCAACATTTACATTGTTACCAATGAAGAATTGGCGCCGCCTTCTTGACGCCACATCTGTTCAGTGGTGCATTAAATATCAGTTGCATTCGTACACAATGAATACAATGGGGGCAACCGATGCTTCAACACAGTGTGCTTTTTCACTGGAAGAATAGAAACACCAAAGATACAAGTGAGACATGGGATAAACGGGAAAATCACATTAAGCTGTTTCATCTTTTCAAGACAAGAGTTTTGTACCAGTGTATAGGCTATTTGCACATTAATTTGTCTAAATTTGGGTGGTGAAGAGGGGAAGATTGCGATGACGCTTTCTGTAGTGTATCTTCAAAGTGTCGGACACACACATCTTAAACATGTTAAACATATATTCAGCATTCAGAAAAAGCAAAATATTGTCAATGTTAGGATTGGATGCATACTGACAATTGTAGCATTCTCCCACTGTCCAGCGCGCTCTCTCCCTCTCGCTCTGCCTCCTTACATAAAGTTTAAATCATCATAGTGACTCAGGACTATTTGCTACAGGTTATTTGGCCCTTGTTTTGTCTCACAATATAATAGTACCCCGGGAACGTTTTTTCCGACAGATTGCTTTTCCCCTTCTCTTTAATAGTGTCAATCGTGCCTAGAACACCCCCCCCCCCCCGAAAAAAAGATTTAGAAATGGCAAAACGCCTTTGGATGTGAGCGTATTTAGATGCTGTACAAAAAAGGTCACTCACAGCAAATACACGAACTCACCTTCACCCAATTGTCCTCTTTATTTGATATTGCCTTTATTTACATGCCTTCCTATACTTAATTCTCTCCTCGTTTGTTTTTTCTTCTCTCTGTTCCATTTACTATTTTTGTTCTTTCCTATCAACTTTCTGTTATATAAAATGTAATTTTCATAATAATATCTATAATGTTCTTTCGGTAACTGTGTTAATTTATTAAGGGCGTTCCCAACTCAAGCTATGCTTTCCGGGTTTTCGCCTCCTTCCGTATCTGAATTATTTACTGTATACTTTATGTTGAAATAATTGTTACATATATCATGTATATATATACATTGTGTTTTATATTGTACTGTTGAGAAGGAAATAAATGTTAATAAATACAATACAAATATTCAGGAGGGTAATGAATAGCATAATCGAACGAAACGGAAAGACGTCTATATCTTCAGAAAACTGTATTATTCACAAAAAATACACTTACTTAATTCATAAACATGATAGCATGGTGTTACTTATTCAATGTAGCATGCAATTTACAATAATACCAATAACATATTTAAGGAGATTTTGTGGCCCATGCTCCCCTTTAATAGAAAATCAATCTGGCATACCTTAACAACACATACATTATATATTTGTTCTTCTGCTCCCCTAAAATTAAAACTATAAATTGTTGATCTCGAAAGCATAAGTAAAATGCAAAAGAATATCTTATTACTTTTACACATAACCAACAAATGAGATCACTATGTTTATTGCTTGTCGGAAATCTTTCAGAATTGTGCCCCCTCTTTATACAGAATCCACGATCTGTCTCTGAGAATATAATGTATTTCTTATATCATCAAAAAGATGACACTTAGCTCAACAAGTAGCTTGACAAACGTTTTGATTTGCATTTTAAGTACAATGGCACTTGAAGAATACACAAGTGTAAAGCTACATTGACAAAATAGTATTTTTCCTGAAACGTGGCCCCATGATAATTGAAGGTGACCTCTAGCACTATGCCAGTTATCAGTTGAATTGCCTCACAGGTGTTTCTATGAATGTATCTTATCATGATGACGTATGCCCATACAACATACTCTGTTGACTGATAAAAATTGATTTTTGGAATGGGTATGCGAGGCGGGGCATGGTCCGACAGCAGCGTTGTTGCAACATCACATGAAAGAAACTCGAAACACGTGGCAAAATAGTGTCGAAACATGACGAAATCAAATGTTTAATGTAGGACAGAGGAAAATCAAACATGGCTTTACCATCAAACTCAGTTTGAAGGGTCTACAATTTGCTCGGCAGAATTGCGTTTTTATTGGGTGATTATGCTGCAATTAGTGAGCACGGGTTTGGAATGGGCTAAACAGCTGACTTCAAATTGTACAGTCTCGCCGTATCGTGAAACATGACTGAAATAACAACCGGTGATCTCCTACAGAATAATCTGAGCGGAGAGAACTGAGGTAAGTAACTTGGCTGGTTTATGTTTCCTCTTGCTATGAACCCCTCGGCTACTGTACGAGGGAAAAAGTCGAAACAAGGCGAAGAAGGTGTAATAACAAGCAATCTCTCTGGGTATTTAGGGTGGATACTTCTCTTTTATTTAGATGTTAGTCGACAGAGAGGAAGACATTTTGACCCGAAGCTTGTATTTGTTCAGACACCCTTATGACAGGGTGGGACTTAGGGAGAAATAATGTTCACGCTTCTGATAGATTAAACTTGATTAAACCAAACGAACGTAGGATTACAAAGAAAGTGAGCGTTGCCTTATCTAAAAGATAGGACAGCCCATATTCTATCTTACATCGTAAGATATCACATTATCATATCAGCCGTTTCTTTTTTCATTTCCCCTCCCCTCCGGAAAATACTTTGCCAAAAGTTTCTTCAAAAACAAATAAGTATTTGCAATATATCAACCTACATTTCTTTTAATTATATGATTAATTACGATGGAAGGAAAGTGAAACTTTAAATAGAAACCGCAACGATTTGTTATTATAAAGTGTACAACAGAAAACAGCAACAAAAATTTTACTGAAAAATAATGTAATTCAATGTCGATATATAACAACATTCATTTGTAAATAAATTTGAATTAAAAAATCTGTTTCATTTTACCTTACACATTTCTGTATCGGGCTATGTCTTTAATTCTGTACGTATCGTTTTTTTTTTTTTAATAACAAATGAAGCTTTAAAATAAAAGGCTACTGTACATGTATATAAACATATCATATTGTATGACAGTATACATAAGTAGCTTTCCTTATGGTATATCAGTGCGTTGACCTTGGTCACGTGGTGAATTCATCTAGAAGGCATTTAATGGCGCCTGATTGACGCTTATTACACATTATCGTAATTCCTAATTAAAACAGTTCTCATTGTTTCTGCAATGACTAACGATGGTGCACATGTTATAATAATGCTTTCCATTATAAACGCCGCATGTGATGACATTTTGACTTACATTTTTTTTTCGCAGTTAAAAGCAGAATAGTGAAAATCAAGTGAAGTACAATATTAATAAAATAATTATGACTGTTTATCGAAATTTTGTAAGCGATTTTAAGTGGCATTTCAACTAAGTCATTGACACATGATATTAATTCAGCTCCTAGAACTGAGACGTAGACAACATACGAATTACCGATTAGAGATATTGAGCTAGTCTAAATGATTACAAAAAAGGGTGTCCTTTTTCTCTATTAATTCTTAAATCAGCATGCATAAGCAAATTACTGTCTCTGACTGAGAATTATAATTTAATTATCCAGTGCCTGATTCATTTTTTTTCTTTTACCGATGAGGGCTTCATGCAACGAACTGATTATGTTGTTGTATGCTCTTTTTTATGATTTGCTAGAGCCAGAAAGTATCGTTTATCGTTTTTATAATAATTAAAGGTAAATCCCATCGCAAACTATATGACCAAATCAGGATATGATTTTAAAAATAAATGCGAAATGTCTGAAAATAAAAGCATATAGCATATGAGTAAGTTTCTTTATAGAAAATATATAGTAACGTGTATAGAGAATTTTATTGCGGGGCCGGTCTTGTGGGCCTTTAGGTCTAAGTAACGGACCGATCAACTACAAAATCGCAGTGACGTCACACAAGTCACATCACTGTTTGATGAAGCCAACTTGCTTTTAATCACTATCCATCTAGCCATCAAGACTCTTAAGCAGGGATATTTTGCATGTTTAGATTTTTTTACAATTTCCAAATCCGATCGTAATCGGGTAGGGGGAAGGGAGGGCGCTTTATGTTCTTGATAGAAGACCCCAATCTCACACACATGCGCACAACGCACACTCACACCCACACAAACAAACTATGTCTGACACCCAGCTTCCTAAAAGAAGACAACGTCTGCCCTAAAGGCATACACCTTTCAGTTTTTATCATTTTTATATAGGAGGTAAGTCTAAACCCTATAAGTGACTACAAATTCGAAGAATTCTGTCTATGTTTAATAGTCAAAAGTACTTCACTAGCTGGTTTACCGACAATGCGGAACTTCGTCTTAGCTTCCTTGACAAGACCTAGACTAAATCGCCTTAGAACCCGAATGCCGATAATCTCGAGTTCCTGCATGGCGATGCGCTGTCCGATGCACTGGTGGGGACCTACGGAAAACGGAAGAAATGCCAGCGGTTCGCGCTGGGCTACGTTTCCCTGGTCAAAGCGCTCGGGACGATACTCCATGTGATCTTCGCCCCAGATGTCGGGATTGTGGTGGAGTTGGTAGAAGTCGATCATGATGCCTGTTTTGGGAGGGATGGTCACGCCCTCGATGACTAGCGGCTCGATCAGGCCCCTGGCTGGCATGAGCATGGCATGTAGACGGAGGGATTCACGGATACACTGCATCAGGTAGGGAAACGTGTGCTGATCAAAGCTGAAACATTGGAAAGACATTGGAAAAACATGCACTAGTCACAATAATATAATATTTACAATGTGCTCAAGTACATTATAACTTAACATTTACTTCAAACGTACTGTTTTATCATTATTTACTAAATTAATCAAGATTATTGACAAAACAAGCATCGGTCTATTTTTTCTCTGTCTTAAATATTAAGTTTAAAAGGAGGTGGGGGGGGGGGGGGCTTAATTGGTATTTCCCTTCCATTTATAGCAGACACACATGGAACAATGAAATGTGAAGGAAGGGATTTTATCTCATACCGAAGGATAATCTTTTGGCTTGTAACCTTTGAATACATTTTTTGTAGATTCACTGAAAACTCAACACTCTTCGTCATCTGAAGTGCGCTACAAATTCGTGTACCTACAAATAATATACACTTTCGCACACGCATACACACCAGACACACGCGCACACACACCAGAAACACGCACACACACCACAGAACTCTTAAATATGTATTTAAGAGTTCTGTGACACACACACGCCCGCACATCTCACGCGCGTTCACGCACACACTCGCACACACATGCACATCGAATTAAATGCTGTGGAAACATAACTAACTAATCAAACAAGTTATACACTTTCTCATATCAATGCGATCCTTTTTCATTGAATTTATGCTCTTCTCTTTATCTTGAAATAAGTCTGACTGCTATTTCATCGCGAGAAACGGAGTCCACCTCATGTCATCTTGCCTCATAATATTTCCTTCATTCTTCCACGAATCATTTGCTCTTTATAACCTATCACGTCAATCTAATTTTCTTTTTGACCAACTCTCATAGTTATTATCACCTATACAGCGTTTAACATGTATAATAAAACATAATAATAATAACAATGTCGACAATGTAATTCGGAGGGGCATGTGGATATTGTATACATGTTAGATGCACTTCCTAAATACAGAACAATGTTGGTAATATGTTCTAAATTGTCGTGCCCCATACAAAGACATTTTTTTTTAATATCATAAAGCCTTAGATCGAATTGTCACGTACTTTATATCACACGGTATCTTGAGCGACCTTGTTCTTTGTCATCTTTTAAATTTTGCCAGCGAACCATACATAATTACAGCGTGTAGAACAAGTCACGTTTTGTTATGTTTGGTCATGCACGAGCAATATAGCTTTAACATAAATAAAAGCATGCATAGATGTTATTTCCTCTGGGTCTTAACATTGAGGTAAAATGAATTGTTTGTGATATCAAAGCCATAATGATGTAATATATTCGACATATTTTTCATTTCCACCTCTAATTGTCAATGTTAATTCAAATGCATCCATTTTCAGGGATCAGACCCTTTTCTTCTTCTTCGTTCTTTACTCTCTCCTCTTTATTTCTCTTCTTTTTTTGGGGGGGGGGGCGGTGTCCGTAATATCTTTGTTTTTTATGAACCAACCGTCGTAACGAAATTTAAAGATAAAGTTGAGTTCTGGTCAAGCAATTGCATTGTGAAAGAAAAGTTGATAATGTAGCATGTAAGTATTGGTGTCTACTGCAAGGTTCTGGCGTCATCAAAATCATAATAAATTTGGCCCAGTCTTCGTAAAGCTACACGCACTGTACACAGAAAGATGTATAAGGGACTTCACAAATGGTGTCGGGGCTAGTATACCTTGATTTCCTTTTCTTTCTATGTTCATTACTCAGCCAGTATACATTTTCTACCAAAGTTGTTTTGTAAATGACATTTATTTGTAATCTTGAACATTCAGTTTAAGTTTCATTTTTTTTTATTTCAACTATACATGTATACATTCAGATAATCTGGTACAAAAACAAATTACAAAGATATGTATTTTCCCATTTAAATTGCAATAGTGCGTAGATGCAGTGGCGTAGCTACGGGGGTACTAATGGAGACACGTGTCTCCAAAAGAATCCCCCTCCCCATCCCCCAAAAAGGAGAAAGGGCACTGGCAAAGGAGACGTACACAAAAGATCATTAGATCCCTTGAGCACCCTCTCTCAGATGGTCTTGATATTATGTCATTTGGCTATTAACCCGGTGCCCCTTATTCTCCCCCTCCCATGACACCAGTGCCCCCATCAGGAGCGGAACCCACGCTACGCCATTGCCAAGATGAGCAATCAAGAGCGATCAATGAGAGCAACACATACAGGTAAGCTAGGGTGTTTCACAAAGATCGTAAGTTGAAATTAACTCTAAGTTGGGCTTAAAAATTACGGAGAGCCATTTGTAGCCATAAAATAAAATATATTCAAAAGCGAAAATTCAAGTATTTTAGACTTTTTAGAAATTCCACATCAAGAACATGAAATCTCCTTGATAATAGAAAATATGAATGATTTGAATCAACATTCTATGCCTTTGAAAAAAACTTTTACAAAAAAAATTCATAGATGCTAATGGATTTCCATAAATGTTACGTCCAACTTAGCGATAAGTTCAATTTAGGATTTTTGTGAAACGGGGCCCTGGTATATAACCATTAAAAAACGTGATAAATATATTGATACACCCAAATATTAACAACTAGGCGTTGTGGCGTGCGCCTGTAATCCAGCTAAAAAAGTGGAAGTTACAAACTGATTCAGCCGAGGACGCAGGTTCGAAACTGAGTCACGTCTTTCGGATGGTGACGTTTAAAGGTCGGTTCCAGACGTAAATAATCATATCTGATTGATACACGTCTGTAAAAACCCAATACACACACACACACACAGTGACCCACAAACGTTTGTTCTGGTAAAGATATCGTCAGAGATTATAGGCCAAAGGTTAGCGTCGTGGTTGGTTTGGAGCTATAGGTCCATGGTTAAGGTTAAGGCTTAACGAGTTTAAAGGGTTTGATAGGTTAAAGGGGTTAAAAGGGTTTGAAAGGTTTTTCATGGGTCAAGGGTTGACATGAAATTTACGAAATAGACTGCGCAGCAATTGTCACATGACAATGTGTCCTACAACCATGATCGGCATGACTGGTATGTATCCATCGTTATGATTTCATCAAGGTATACCTGTCAATGTAGTCCTCTGGATGATCACCCAGGGCATCGTCTATCTCCTCCTGGACCTTCGTCTGATGTTCAGGATGCTTGGCCATGTCCATGAAGAACCACGTGAGGGCGCTACCAGTGGTATCTACGCCACCGAAAATGCACGTATTCACCTAAACGGGTCGGGTAATTTTACAAGAGAATATGATGTTGTCATGTTTTCCCGGTGATGGAGAAAACTTATTGCTAGGAATGGTACCACTGAAGGATTATTGATAATTTCGAAATTGTTTGAGGAAAGAAGTTACCCCTCCCCGATCACAGACAGACAGAGATCAGAGTATAAATTGTGATAAAGAAAACTGAGAGATATCATTGGAAAGGGAAGAGCTTGGTAAGAACAGGGATAGTCTCACCTCCCTGGTAAGAACAGGAAGGTGAGACTTACCTCCCTGGTAAGAACGAAGTTAGGAGAGATCACAGGGGAGAGAGCGAGGAGGAGAGAGGATGAGAAAGAGTGAGGAGGTATATAGAAAGAGGGATAATGAGAGCTAGGGGCAATATAGAAAGAGTGATAAAGAGAAAAGAGATAGAGAGAGGGGAGAGAAAAATAGAGAAAGGGAGAAAGAAAGGGAGAGAAAGAAAGAAAGAAAGAGAGAGAGAGAGAGAAGGGGAGAAAGACAGGGTGTTTGTGGGTGTGTGGCTGCGAGCTCGTGTGAGGGATGGGATTATGGTACTAGTAGTGTGTGTGATATCAATAAAGTGGTTCTTATACAGAGAGGGAGAGAGATAGAAAGACTCAATTTATGTAATGGGGGGGGGGGGGGGGGTAATACCGAAATTACCACATAATAATCATAATAGCAATCGTATGCACATTCTTAAAAAAAATATTTTATTGAAGCGAGGGCCGGTGTATTATTAATTTCATCTCCCTCTTGTCCCCCCCCCCCCCCCTCTTAAGTGTTTTTTCATAGCTCAACAAATAGGTCATAGCTTGCATTTGAGGTTGCTGCACCTTAGAAAATATTCCGGGAAGTATTTGTGATGATGCAAACGATATAAAGAAAATGGGTCAATTGATATAGTATAACACTCACAATTCCAAAAGGCTCTTAATGTAGGTTGATAGAGGGACTCCAGACTTGTTAGGTGTAGTTAAGCTTAATCAAGTCCGCTAGCACCAGGAACAAATTTGATAATCTTAAACGATTCAAGATGACAGAAATTGGTTGCCGAACCTAAAGCTGGGTTAATAGTTTCCATAGCCGTTTATATGCGCAAAGAGACGTTATATCATGATATGCGCTGTAGAGGAGTCTTCCTATTATAGCCAATTATGTTTAATGATTGAGAACAAAAACTGATAGAAAACGGAATATATAGACGTAGTCTAGCTACCTTTCCTATTAATAACAACAACAACAAAAGTTATTCATGATCTATCCTGCAAACTTGCACACTCAATTTGATTAGAGGGTCTTAAACGTAGGACGAAAATAATAGTGTAGAGGATATTTTATTGACAATTACCTCATCTCGAATCTCTCGATGCGATAATCTTTTATCATCAGAGTAGGTCGAGAGAATTAGTGTATCAAGCAGGTCACGTGACTTCGTCGCAGTCTGGATTGAAACAAATGTTAAAACTCGTGTCATACATAAATACTCTTCTCAAACATAATCGTACATACATGTTCTTCAAACAAACATAGCCAAAATAGAATAATAAAAAGATCGTTAATATAAAATTTTACACCTTTCTTGAGAAAAGCATAATTGATCCGAATATTCTTTCTCTCAGTTTAGCATGTTCAGAAGATTATGCATTAAAGCATTTATTTTCTATAATTCACAATTCTCTGAAAAGAATTGTGAATGCATTATTTAAAAATACAAAGGTTTCTTGATAGTTAAAATTTTAAGAGGAACAAAAACAGGCAAAGGGAGTGGGGAAGGACGGTAGGCTCTTGATACTAATTGTTGTTACCTCACATGATGTTTCTTCGTGCATTCGCTTCCGTTCCCGTATGAGTTTTTCAGATAGACTATTCACAACTTCTAGCGCTTCTTTCCACATGTTGTATTGTGACGTCATCCGGAAGATGAAATCGTTCGCCATGATTGGATTCAAGATCCTTTAATAATGAAATGAAAATGATATAAAAAAATATTTCTTATAGATATGAGAGTAACTAACTTCAGTAGGTGTTAATAGACATTAAGAATTAAAACCATGTTTAAATAGCCGGGTATCTTTGAGTTTCGTTGAAAAAGGACTACATATTACTTTAAAGTTTAAACAGCAAAATATGTTAAATTTCATCATTTTGTAAAAAAGATGTGAAGCAGCTTCGACAGGCCTGTAAATGATATTGCGTTAAGTTTAGTTTATACTCCCCTTAAAAGACAGGCCTACATCGGATATTTTGATTTCCAATGAACACTGAAACTACTGTTTAAACAGTTGCTATTCATACCTTTTTATTTTTTAAAAATCTATTGATTGTTCGTTTGTCTATTTCTTCGTTTATCTTTTTCTTCGTTTATCTTTGTTGTGAACTCACCTAGAAGTCCCGATTTCAGTGAGAATATTAAGTGACTTAAGAACTGGGGAACCCCCTTCCTGGCACCCAAGCTCATGAGAAAGCGCCACTCGGTATATGATGTCACCTGATAGATTGAACATCAGGTGACTCACGTCGAAGGGCGTGGCAGAGTCAGCTTTGATTGACAGCTTTTGCAAAACAATATCAGTCGTCTGCAGAAGAAACATGAGGAAAATTTAATCAAATACGAAAAAATGTTAGAAACGACAAATCAGAGAGACATCTTCAACTGTTATCATCCATCTGTTATATAAAGAAGCTTGCTTTAAGAGCAGGCCAGCAGATAAAAATGAAACAGATCATTATTTAATTCAGCATTACAAAAACACGAGTCAAAACCAATATCCATCAAAACGATACCATGCAACACATGTCAGTGACCCCAAGATTCGAAGAAAAAAGTTCCCGCTTGCAACAGTATCAATAACAAATTCTGAGTAAGGCGTCCTTTAACATCACCTATTTCGGCATCCTCGCTCCATTTTCATGGTTCCAATATTTTTTCTAATTGAATCTATACTTTTTCACAGATTTTGTTTTTTTTAAATAGCAACATATAGACTTCCACTTCTGATGACGTGTCTTCTTCGCATACCTTATTGATGACTGGCACATGGTGTTTCCTGACACAGTTTGACTGGAAAAATGGCGTAACGATTTTACGATTCCGTCTCCAATGGGGCCCATCAGATGTAGCTATACCCTGCCCAAGCCATTCCCCTAAAATGTGGTAGCCAGTCCTGCCAGCCGGCTGTGAAACCAGAAGCAACGGAAGGAAAAGTTACAAGCGGACAGCAAAGATAGTACATACTCGAACAAAAGCATTCAAGGAAAGGCAAATTCTTATCGTCTTAGGAAAAACCCTGTCTGTTTGTAATGTCTTAAAAGAGTATAGTTTTATGCATTAAATGAACATATGCATGTAAGTTTGTCATCGCTTTAATTCTCTTTCATATTCCTTTTAATTTTATCCTATGAAGCTTTATAATCCCATTTCTATCATTTTCCTCTCCTTGCCTCCTCACCTCTTCTCTGTTCTAATCTTCCTTCGGCCTCTTCATTTCAGGATCATATTTTTGATTTTGCTCATTACCTCGATCCTTACTCCTCTCATGCATTCTTCTTCTCCCCTTCTTCGATGTAAGCCTATGTGATTAATGATTCTGAAAATAGAACTAAGAAAAGACATTGTGGGAAGAACAAATCTCACCCGCCGAGAAATAGTCGAGCTCTTCAAGACGTCCTTCATCGTATCCGGGTGGTTCACAATCAAACACGGCGTCCAGAACCCCCAGTAGACAAGCATCCGTCTGCATCTCGAGACTGCTTTGATGTGCCAGTCGAGTCCAGCTTGGAAGATCCCTGGGTTGTCGAAAACATTGCCCCATAACCAGTGCGGCTCGACGGACGGGACGTTTCGGTTCATGTAATTGGCGCGGCGATACAGACGCAGCCATCTCCTGACGCAACGGTAGACGCGATGTAAGAGACACAAGGTTGCGACGGTGATGACTAACTTAAAGATAACTGACATATTGTATTGCTGAAGGTGCAGCTGGTATAGAAACCATCTGAGTTTGGTTTGTATCATGCACAACACTCGACATGAGAGATTACGCTTAAAATACCCGTTGCAAACTTAGCGTCATTGCGAGTGCGTCATTGCCTGCCGTCATCATCCGGTCAGCGTTAGCTCATAAAGCAGTAATCCAAAGCAATGTATGCACTGTTCATATATCAATCATGTTCTGTACAATTTCCCCTTCACACAGGGCGTCAAAGACCGTGTCAGTCATTGACACAGTCCAACGTCATTATAAAGACGCCTCGTGTGCAATGGGCATAAGATTGTAATACAAGTTGCACAATAGGCGTTAAATCCTCTACGCCACTTAAGTCGTTCGTTTTAGGAGAATTTTGGCCACAGTAAAACATTGAGCAAACAATGACGACTGCAATGAGGAATTATTTATTGTTCTTTTCAAATACATCGTTTTGTGTAAATCTAATGATTTATATTTGTTTGCGCCTTGAATAGCGAGGTGGTAATTTAGTCGGAAGGACGTTCTATGTGTAACAGGGAATAACAATATAGTGTAAATAAAGGAATATACATTAGGAAAATGGTTCAAAATGTTGATTAGGGCCTGGATTTTCTTGAAAAGCTTACAATAAGTACACCTTCGTCACCCGTTTGTCACCACTTCACAGTACGCTGCTCGTCATAAAGATAGGAGCTTGCGTCAATCATCCATTTGAACACTGACGTAAACAGAGGTTTAATATTCAACAGTGACAAGCCTACTCTGTGATGTTCCAGCAGAACAGACGTTTTGAAAAGGGAAGAAATCCTCAGGAAAAGGTTAACATCTCCACGTAAGCCGATTCCGAACTGGTACGAGGACATTCCTATTACAAAGATGAATAAACAATTATGTCCACATACACAGTTCTTGCACAATCATTGATTTTAACAGTCTACGGATGAGAAAGTATCTAAACAGGAAGAGCTACACGAACGATTAGAGCTTGCATGGTAAAATATATTCTCAAAATGAAACGTTTGTCAGTTAAAGAAACATTCGTGCGTCTCGTCTCCGAGCGCGAGGCCGACGACTCGAGATCATGAATTATAACTTCTAAACAGGGACAAATGAGGTCAACCAAGTTAAAAAAAGAAACAAACAATAACATAAGAACATCAAATATAGAGCAGGGCGCGCACCAGGGAGGGGGCATTACTCGTGTGGTTGGAAATATTGGATGGGAGTGGGGGACAAAATTTGTCGACATGATTGGCAACAGAGAAGCAAACTCTCCAACAAGGTGAAGTCTTTAGCTTCAAAATAAAACAGACGGATGGAAACTATCCATCTACCTAAACTATCCATCTACCTAATTATCAAATATATCCGTACTTTGCTATTCATTGTCTCTTTACCCTTGAAGATAATTTTGCCTTAACAATAGTCCCTTAATCATCAAGATACTGACTATACTTCTATGTACAACCATCAAGGGCAAATCTGAAATTTATTACCGAGCTAGTTTTCTTGTATTGAATCTCGCTGAATGTCTCGTGGCATTGTACCGTCAGAATTCGGTGCGTGTATACCGTAATTTACGGTCACGCTGGGAACGCGCTAAATAATCAGCTGGACTAATGAAAAAGAATTACGACTTCCCTCATGGCCGACAATCCATACGTTTCGCAGGAGGGTAGGCAAAACTAGGGCAAAATAGAAAATGAACAAACACATTAAACAAACAAAAAACAACCATTGAGAGCCAAAGCTGGTAGTATGTCTTTATAAACTTTCTTATGATCACAACTTGCCTCAGAACTGAAGAGTTAAAAATTATCATTTATTCATACGAGTAACTTTTGTTGCTCAATTGAGACTCAGTTAAGGAGTTTTTATTTCAAAATTGTCCATAATGCTATTGGTTTTAACGCATTTTTGTTCAAGATTGGGAGAAAGGAGTCTGCTAATTGTTACTTTTGTACAGAAACTTTAGATCAGTTGTTTTGTGACTGTAGAAAAGTTGAACCACTGTGGGAAAAATTGGTGGATAAGATTAACACTGGCACTGATCACAGTTATAATCTGACTCTGTCAAAATTTAATTATTTGTTTGGGATACAGTCAAGGGACAAACACGCCTCTTATATAAATTTTCTCTGTTTATGTTTAAAATATTACATTTACTCCTGTAGGCTTCAGGGAAAATAACTTATTTTTGAAGCTGTTGTTTCAATGGTACAGTTCACACAAAAAATAGAATATAAATTTCCCAAAAGAAAAATAAGTTACAAGTCCATTTTAAGAAATGGTCTATCAAGTTTAACTGAAATTTAGTAGTAGTCTTGCAAAGCTCTGTTGTCATTAACATCTTAATTGACTTTTTGTAATGTAAACTTGCCCCCTGGGAAAGTATGTGAGTGTGAGTATGTCTGTGTGCGTATTTATGGGTGCATTATGAGCTGGTGCCTGTTTTGTAGTTTTAAGATATTATATATTATATTGTTGCTTTTACTTTGTTAATTTTTCAGAAATAACAATAAAAACAGAAGAAAACAAAAATTATCATTTATTTCTTTTTCCAAAACTGTTTTCTCATCTTCCCCCTTTTTGCCTGCCCTGATCACACACTCATTCTATCAACTTCTTGTTTCTTCAAACTCATGCTTTCTTTTTCTCACACTTCGATCCTTTCTCTCGGTCCACTCAATCTTTCAATCATTTTCGTATCTCCTCTTACTATTTCCTCTTATGTTTCTCTGAAAGAATGAACGAACAATGGAAGGTGGAGGACAGTCATTACGTCTTAAGATTCTACCTGAAAGAGATCACAAATTGAACATTTCTTTTCCAAAGACAATTCCTAGTTTTTATTGAAAGAAGACAACTCTATACAAGTAGAAGCCCTACTAAAAATGCATCATTCCTGACAAAGGAAAATATTCAAGAAAATACAAACATTGCTTTATTCGTAAATACAAACATACTCCATCCTTCTCCCTCTATACGAGAGATAGCACAACTCAAGATATATTCATTACACACAAAAAAAAAACCTTCGAAAGTCTTCAGATAAGACCAGCTAATTTACATAAGCAGTAATAATGGAGACAAGGCATGATCTTGTATAAAACATTTCATCGAGATGCATAATAAAAAGATTACTAGAAGATCTGATTCAGTTTGTTTTGTTCATTGATAACACATAATCACAATCTCTCAGTAATTTAAAGCTATCATCAAATATTTGATTCTGATGACAATCATTATAATAGAATAATTCATGAGCAGTGCCCTCATTAATATCTCAACTGCTGAAAGCCAGAAGGGCGTTAACTCTGTATTAAAGTATACAAGTTAACTCCCTTCTTCTTCCTAAGAGATGATCTATGCTGTATATGACACAGATATACCATAAAAGTTCAAAATAAATAAGCTAATCGTTGATATTAAAATAAATACATAAATAAAATTGATTTGCCATTGGTCAATAAATAGCATCAGAGGGGTGCTATAGATAAGAGTCATGCTACTTGTATAGTCATCATAGGCAGTGGTACTACTTCGAAAGGCTATGATAAAAGGTACATATACACACATTTTATACAAATATCGAGTCATTATTTCATGTATTTTAACAATTAATGATTTCGTAATAAATTTAATGATTTTGTAATAAAAAGGAATAGAAAATTCATCTACAATATGCTATAAGATAATATATATTTCTATATGCATTCAGAATTGTTCTTGAGATATTGTCTTTTATTACATCATTCAACAAGTCACATCTGTGAACTTACTTAAAAATGCAATTATAAATAATGGAACATTCCTGCAGTTGTCACTTGATAAAATGTGAATACAACACTATTTTGCACTAGCAAATTGTCTTAATTTAAAGGATATGTGACAGAAACAAGGTTCATTCATATCAATTCCACATTTGCCATTCAGATCAATTTCTAACTAGGAAATTGTAATTGCTGATGTATACCCCAAATTTCTCTGTCCGCACTTATTCAAAATAAGATTGTTACTGGACAGATATTCAAATGGGATAAAATGTAACTTGAATTCCTTTGCGATTTAGTGTCACTTTCCTTCATTTTGTGTGGGGAGATAAAGATGCATTCTTTTACGATATAATTTCATAGAATCGGGACAATTTATAATACCCTTTTACAATAATAACATTTCATGTGGTCAATGAAATTACATTCTTATCCAAGTTTTGTTTCTTGCTCCATATATGGAAGAACTGTCAATGATTGATATTATTTGTTTAAGTCTTCCATATAGAATGTCCTGTACCGTCATATCACCTTTAAAAACAAAAATCACTGCATGTGTTTTGCATCAACAGCAACTAATCTGTAATATAATATATTTACAACAATGACAACAAAAAAATCCACAAAATTGTTTTTTCCAAGGAGGAAGCACACCATAATCATTATTAAGATTATAAAAAGAAAGAAATTCTAGTCTCTGATATACTTCAGACATAACACTGCTACTAAAGATTGTTTATATTGTATTTTGAGGACGTCTGTATCTCTTCCTTACATTTCACATAGTAACGAAGCACCCATACGAAGCCAGATTGCACTTTAGGTTACAATAAAACATTCTTTCTTACTCAGGCAATAGGAGAATAGCCACATCAAGTCATCTATACAATTGATATAAAAAGCACCACCACCACCATCATCACGAACAAATCTAATCCATTTTCTTCTTTCTCATGTAAAGGTAGACAAATATCATATTTAGTAAGTACACATAATTCCTTTATGACAGTGATGATAAGGATAGTAATAGAAGATTCTGATTATGAATATACAGATATTCATGCACAAGAAAATATGGTTTCTTTTTTTCTTCACAAAGACACAATAGAGATAGCGAAGGATGGTTGTGAATATCCAAGTTGATTCCAATGCTTGCACAATACATATTCTAAAAAAGTCCAGACCATGTATATTTACAGTTGTCTTGGAGTCATTGTATACAGTGTGATGGAGCCCCGCATTACACAGAACAGAGTATATAATTTCTTTGAGTTTGTATATTTTATAGTTCTTTTTTCTTCTTTGTTTCACAAGGTGTTTTTTATTGGCAGACAGATATAAAACAATCCTCTCTTCATCAAGACCCTGCCTCGATTGCTCGTACACTTTGACCTCTTCACAATGGCAACATTCATTTGATCTGTTTCTGTTTCAATTGTTCCATTGCTTTATCACTTCACTTCCAACACTCAGATTATTGAAATGTTTTAGCTTCTCTTCCCTTTTTCCTTTCTCATCACACACAAGAATTTCGTCCCCTTTCGTCTGTCCCAACTTTCGTCTTGAGTGCCCCATAATTCACAACTATCCACACCCACACCACCACCAACATCACTGATGCACAGCAAGTCTCATACAGAGACAAATTTTGTTCTTCAAGTTCTATATATTAACAGGATCTTATACCAAAAAGTAGTCACTTTTAACTTCTTCTTTCAGAGCTTTTATAGAAGTCCTTTTTTTTAGTCTTATTCATTCCAAATATTCACCTTTCTAAACAAAATGTTCAAAATAAGTCACTATTGTTTACATATCGATCAAGAAGTTAAGTCATATTCATCTAAACAAGGTCTAAAATTTAAAGACTTATCTTGATATATTGATATTAGTGCCATCTACTCATCTAAAACACAATCTGAAATTATTCCTATGGTTTATTGCTTAATGATTTGTCTATAAATAATAAGTCACAGGTGAAATCAATTTCAGTCATTAAAATGGAAGACGTTAAGTTCAGTGAAAATTCACAGTGGGAAGTTCTAAACAAATTAATCATCTAAACAAAACAATGAATATAAAATATTACGATTAAAATCTTGAGATTACAGAGAACAATTGTTGCAGGTTTGTTTTGGGTGCTGTATTCTCTGTTGGATTTACTGGAAATGGGGATTCTTTGCTGCTCCACTTATTGCATTCCAAAATGGCAGTCGCTTCTCCGATTCCATCTGATTTTCTCCTCTTCAGGGGATGTAAAAACAATCAAATTCCTCTTCACATAGTCACAAATCCTTTCCAAAACTCGCAATATTTCACTCCATACATATCATTCAAAATACGTCTCCAACCAAGTCCACTCGATTTGGTGTGTCAGAGCACAGCAGCACTAGTCTTCATCCAAGTCCATTTGTCATTTCACTGCTTGGTATGTAAATGTACTAGAATTCTTTTCAGTCCTGCCTAGCATAGCAATGGTTTTTCTGTTTAGAAGAGGGCATTGAACTTCTTGAGGTTCTTCTGTTTCCACATTGGCAGTTTGTAGAACTCATTTTTGGTCATACTCAGGACACTCTGAAAATGAAACAAGAATAAAGGCCCAAAATCAGATAAAAAATGGAGTTTGCTTACACAAAAATAACAAGTTAATTGAAAAGAGACCTTAACAGCCTACTCAAATTTGGCCGGACATAGTAACAAATACGTACCATTCAATACTTTGAGATGGATCAGTCAGTTTGTTACAAAGGTTTATGGGAGAATCTACAAGGCTTGCCCAAAGCTAGCCTGACATAGTATCAACCAATGTATCAAATGTGATCCTATCAGCAGAGAATGTATAACATTTGGATCAGTATTTTTTCTTCCTGAGGTTCTGGTAAGAGCTCTTGAAAGCTTGCCAACAAAGCAGTTACGAGAGTTCTTAGAAGAAGAACAAAATTGCTTAAAGTTTGTGCAATAAGGCTACAAGTTATCCAGAATCGTAGAGATTATTCCATGCCTTATGTGTGAATCAATTATTTACTAAAAAGGGCCTCAGGGAAGAAAAAAATCTACAATGTTTGCATTAAGCTGGTTTTATTTAGCAATCACTGTAGACATATATCTGAATAAATGAGTACATGTAACTAGTCTATTAAGTAATGTTAATTCCATTGGTAATATTGATATTGATTTTTCTCCAAGGAATCTTGATTTGTGTACAGCGCTTAAAAACTTTATGTCTCAAGCAGTATATAAATTGTTCATATTATTATTATTATTATAATTATTATGAAGTGTACCAGGGAGGATACTGACCTGGAAATCCGAATCTGAGAGATACGTCTCGAGCTTGAGAGGATCGACACCCTCGGGTAACGGTCTCTTGCTGATCTCCTCCAAGCTGTAGGTAGCCTTGGTCAGCTTGGCCAGGATGTCCTTGACCAAGATAGCCTTGCCGCTCTTCTTACCACTCTGAAAAACAATCATGAACATAATAGATAAATGAATATTAAAGGCATCGTTTAAAGATAAACTTTAGTACTGGTAATGCGATTGCATTGTGAAAGAAAAGGTGTGGAAAGGATCAGAAACAGTTGATCATGTAGCATGTAAGTATTGGTGTGCACTGCAAGGTTCTGGAGTCATCAAAATCATAATAAATTTGACCGAGTCTTGGTAAAGTAACAAGCACTGTACACAGAAAGCTATATATGGGACAACACACATGGTGTCGGGGCTAGTACTACCTTGATTTCCTTGTCTTTCTATGCTCATTACTCAGCCAGTATACATTTTCTTCCAAAATTGTTTGGCACATGTCATTTATTTTTAATCTTGAACATTCAGTGTAAGTTTCGTTTGATTCTGTGAGAATTAATTTAGTTTTTTTTACCAGAACTGGAATTTATCTTTAACAATTTTTAATCTGAGATGCATGGCCCTACGTGCTATCAGTGTTTGTGATATGGTGTAATATTAAAGCCCTAAAAAAATTGCGCTTCAAAATGATCATGAAGTTCCTCAAAAAAGTAAAAATCTTTGAGTGACCTTTAGACTGTAGTGTTATGAAAACCGTTAGGAAAACGCAAAATTTGATTTCGATATCCAATCATAAATATCTTGATAATCAGACAGGCGATCGGCTTGTAAATGTCATGGGATTCATGTTTGCCCTAAAGGTTTATAATTATGATTGCAGCATGAGCTAAATCAAGGTGTTTTTTTTTAAAGAATCTGAGACAAAGTTACTGGATCCCTTTAACTAAACTTGGCAAAGATATGGGCACTTTCATTGAATGTGCTCATACAAAGCAGATATATTCACATTCAGCCGTGTAACAGTGACAATGTTTGGAAAGTCAACCGCTGATGAAAGTTTTGTTTATTACTACTGATAAACAATGTAAGGCAAACGTAATTGCAAAGACTTTGTTTGGATTATATAATGCGTCATGGTAATGTTTGCATATTTAACATATTAAAGGTACTATGTCCCATTTGCAGGCCAAAAAAATGAAAAGGTTAAATTCCAACGGCATTTGAAAGATAATACTAATTTAGAACTTCCCTAAAAAAGGTGGGGCTTGAAAATGTCTTCAAGTGGGAGAATAACGACTATTAGTTGTCAAAAGGAGCTATAGAGCCAATAAGTAATAGTCTTGATTTTCAGACCATTGTACCGAATGGTCATACGTTTTATTCATTCAGTTTAATTTTGGCCATCACAAGAAGTGGGTTATTGATGTAGACAAAATAATGCTCATGTACCCTTTAAAGCTCATTTTATGTATGTTATTACCAAAGAAGAAAAAAAGCCAGTCAGTCACTCAATAGTGTCTGACAGTGAAGTCTAGCAAGTAAACGGGTTTCCTTGCATAATTTGAAGATTGGGACACTGCTAACGTTTAAATTTCAGAGATAGGACATGCAGGACATATTCATAATTCCTGCAAAGTTCTACAGAATTTGAGGTTGGCTGCAAAAGGGACATAGTACCTTTAAAGGACAAGGCTATTGAAATTGGCTTGGTCTGACTTTTATTTAGTCTTTGAAATCATGGGGCGACAAACTAAAAATGTGGGGGAAAAGAAGCCTACACTGTACATGTAAAGGTTTTTGTACCCTTTTCCAAAAGTAAGGCATAATTATGAACATTGTTTATGAACTAATTTATTGAACTATGCCTTAGCACTGAGTAGTCATAAATATCACAATCATGAAACAAACACTCTTGGGTGTTTAGAAGGTCAAAACCATGACCTTCAACTCTTGATTTCTTGGGGGATAATTCCCTTACCACGCTCAGTTTATTACAATGTATTACAAGTCATAAATCTATTAGCTTAGATACAATTGCAGACCCTCTCTCTTAATCATGTGTACGCTCTGAGGTGACCAGCTGGTACATTCTCTAATATATTCAATTGGGGGGGGGGGGGTGGGGGGGGGGGGGGGGGGGGGGGGGGGGGAACGGAGAGGAGGAAGGAGGGGTTGAGTAAGGGAGGGACGCAAGGAAGATGATGGAGGAGACGTGGAGGTGAAATGGGAGGGGGGATGAGGAGGGTGGAGGGAGGTATACTGTTTTATGCAATGTAGAGCAGTCATCTTTCTCTAAGTAAACACAAGTTTTTTTTATTTATCAGTGTATCTTTAATATACTCCCCCCCCCAAAAAAAAAAAAAGAAAAAAAAGAAGAGGGGGTACAAATTTCTACTATTCTTTTGCAAGGATCACACTACTGATATGTAGCAAAGTGTTTGATTAAAGAACAAATTAATATCTGTACAAAACATTTGTTCTGTTCACTTCCATTACTACATTGGACCCACCTCTTTGTTGAGCTTCATGACATCTTCTCTGACTTCCCAGAAAGGAAACAGGTTGGTGAAGGTTAGAGGTTCAAGTCCCGCATAGACCAGGTAAGCTTTGGGTGGGCTCTTCGGCCTCTTTTCTGCAATTAAAAAAATCAGACACAATCATTAAAACTAAAATTCTTGAAACCCAACTCTTGTTCAAGTTTTTTTTGGCATTCGTATTGCAATCATATTAATCAAACACCATTACAAAATCAACAATGTTCAAAATGTTAAATAAAGGCTCTACTTGACAATGCTTAAACCCTCGGAACAAGGTAAAAAGCATGTTTAAGTATAGAAATTAAAAAAAAAAAGTCCAATCTTAATATCTCATTCACTGTTAATGCTATGACTGACATTGTTTCATTGTATCAAGCTTCACCATTCTTTAAAAGATTTCAATTTCGAGAAGAAAAAAACCTTTACTTTATCTGAAAAAAAGTACATGTAATATAAATCACTCTTCTAAACACCTTCAGCACCAAAGATTTAAACTTCCCATAATCAACAGAAGGTTTCTCGAGCTACATGTATACTGCAATAAAATGTCTACATTCATACAAATCATAATAACAACTTAACAAAACATGAACATTATTTCCCAAAGAAAAGTATAATTTCTCCTCAAGTTAGTCATTCTTCAAGAGTGAAGCTACCCACCTTTGCAGTAGGCCATGATGGTCTCCATGGCTAGCTTCCGATCGATGTCCCATCTGATCTTCGCCGAGCCGGTCTTAGTCGTCCCTGACGCCGACTCATGATCAGCAGGCCACCAACCTTGCCAGAGGTATATCTCATAGTGGTTGTCTAAGGCATAGAGATCTGCATCAAAACAAAGAAAATGAATACAGATGATGTACCTAAGTATGTAATGTTATCGTTCAATATAAACTCTGACATACATTTGTGAAACATTTTTTGTAATATAATTATTTATGTTAGTCTACATTTACGCAAACTAAACATCTGGCTTTGGTCCTAGCGACGAATTCAAGTTTTCACACTGCATCTTCTTATTTCTCTTTTTTTTCTCCATTGGTTTGCTGATGTATGATTTAAATAAACATTATTTTAATACCACTGTAAAGTAGTTTCTAAATTGTCCAGTCTCTTTGTCACTGCCATCTCACTAGTGTTATCATTATTATTATAATCATCATTATTGTCTCTGCCATTGTCCATCATCCAATTCACCCTCATCATCCAGCTTATCATCAAAATCTCCACCTCCATATATATCTTGGTTCACGGCTCAAGTAGCTCCGCTGCACTATGTCCATTAATCTACATTGTCCACTCTCCACTCAGGTGTTAAATGAGTACCGATAGCCAGTAGGGAATTTTTTTAATGCTGTGAGCACCGCAATCGGTAGCCTAGCCGCGGCACTAATGTCCTTTGGCAAGACATTTATCTACATTTTCCACTCTCCACTCAGGTGTGAAATGGGTACCCGTATGAAGGAATTCTTTGATTGCTGTGAGAACAAAAATCGGTAGCCTACCAGAACAGGGGTAATATTTGAGTGCCTTGAGCACCTTGCATGGTAGTCAAGAATCTGGCCAGTTCTTTATAGCAGGAGTCTATATTCCCTACACTTGATTCAAGCCACCGAAGATGGCGTACGTTATGAACAAACTCATACGCCCACCACCCCTATGGTACTTTACAAATATCCGATATTATCATTATTCTCATGACACCTACCTGGCTGATCCCCACCATATAGGTCTGACTGGAGGAAGGGGTACGGAGAGGGGTACTCTGTCGACCTTGCAGGGTAGAGGATTTCGTTGGATACAAACACCCCTGAACCGCTGGTCAGCTGGAACAGTCTCGGTGTATACTCGTACTTGAGAGGATCTAAGAAAGCAAAACAGAATTTGAGGCATGGTTTACACTCCTGTTACTACTAGTTCCATCAATTCAATTCCATTAATTTTACACATCATGTTTTTACCTTGAATATCCAGACTAATTATTTTAGTTTGTTGAGTTCACTTGGAAGACAGGAGCATGAGAGAGCAAGCTTTACACCTACAAGTATTTCTGGGCCTTGATGTAAAAGATTATCCAGAGTTGCACTAAAGAAATGCCTGGCTCTCTGAAATGGTGCACACTGTATTCTTATGATACAACTCTAAAAAAATCTCTTAATTACAGATACACGTATGTAGGCTTTATCTGTATTGAATTCTTTTTTTGTATACCAGGTAAATACCTTGTTGTCTACTTCCTTTAAATTAAATGCAAGAAAACAGTAGAAAATGCTTTAAAAAGGTTCACAAAATTATTTGCATATTGAAATGATGTACAGAGATAAAAGAGGGCAGGTACAATGTAGAGTGATTGAAGGGAGAGAGGCGGAAGAGACTTACCATTTATTGCACTATCATATGTATTTCTATCTTTGCCCATAGCCTTGGAGAAGGCAGCTGATTCCTTGCCTTCCTCCATCTCTTCTAACGTGACACTGCACTCGGTTGAGACACCTGCCTCTAGTGGAAGACTGGGTGGGGAAAAAAAGGACAAGATAGAGAAAAATCCATCAAGGTTCATTAGAATATACAGAGCATATAGAATACTTATATAAAGAATACTTATATGAAAAAACTTATATGAAGAATACTTATATGAAGAATACTTATATGAAGAATACTTATATGAGGTATATATTTTGACTGTCACAAATGCAATGGATAAAATGATTGCCCAAGGTAATCTTGAAACCATTATTCCCTGAGATGAAGTTGACAAGCCTAGTACTGTCAGAAGTTCTTGGAGGGCTCTATTTTCAACAGTGAACTGAAAATCAGCAGTCAATAGTTGTTTTCATTATGCTTCGTCCCATGTGACAATCATTTCAAAAGAGAAATTGTGTCTTAAATCTGCCTGCAAAATAGGTTTATTTGTAGAAATATTCAAAAATAAAGAAGACTTTGCATAGTTTGACCATTGGATTGTGCATATCCAATCAATTTTAACTTTATGTGCCCCTATAACCCCCCTGTATTGTGCAGCATGCCATAACAACAAAAGAAGCTGAGAGCAACAATGGTGCCTAAGCCTACTCTCTAATTATATGTGATATAAGATAAAGGAATGTGAAGCAGACTATGCTTATGGATTTTGTTTCAAATCTTTTGTACATTGTTTAATTTTTTTCCAATTTACAGCATCATATGCGAACAAATTAAAGCTCAACGGGCAGATTATACTCACTTTTCTTTGAGAGCAGCAGCAGCATGCTGCCCGCATTCTTTGGTTGCCTTGGAGACCTTGGCACCGTGCCAGAGATGTATACTAGACTTCTTATTATGGACTCCACTAAGATTGAGAAGGACAAACGAGGTCCTGGACCGGAGACTCCTCATCTTAGCCGGGACTTCCATTAGACTGGTCTCTTTGGTGTGTTCCCCTCTCACGCAGTATAACCTGAAGGGGCCTGCACAAACAGAGACAAACAGTGTTAGAACAATCTTAAAGATGTACCTGATGCAGTCAAGTTAAAATGTTGCAATTAATCAGCACATGAATCATCTTTACAAATGTACATGTATGGCTTATAAGATGCTTTATAAACCTGATACAAAACTCATTTAGGATTAAATACATCTACTATTACATGTACTATGACATTTACCCGACATTCAAAATAGATAAGAAGCTCCCTGAAACATAACAACATATTACTCCCTATTGCAAAGATAATCAAAAGAGAAGGTCTTAAACATTTTCATTTGATCCATCACTGCAAGGAGTAAGTCCCATCAGTGGTATCATCATATGATAATCATTTGGGTTCCATCAATATATAACAATCTTATAAATTGTCATACATGAATTTTATAAGATGTATCCTATAATAACCTTCAAATTGAGAAGGCCCACATCAACCTTCGCTTTGACCCCACAATACCAGTCTATCATTCAGTGGAACCTACCTTTTGTGTTTGTTTCTTCATCCTCTCTCTTGCCCACATGGACCACCATCCTGCCCCTGAAGAGCTGGAAGAAAGCCGCTGGCTCCTTGCCCTCGACCACCTGCTTCTGAGGACCCCTCTCCTCGTCCAACTCCACCGTCATCAGGGCCGACGCCCCCTTCTCGTTGATGGTGCTCTGCTGCCCCTGCCAGAAGAAGTAGGCGCACCTCTCACGCCCCTGGGATCCTCCCCACTTGGAGGCTGTACCCTTCAAGCTCTTCATACCTACCAAATGAAAAAAAGATCATACGTCATGGTATTTTGGTATAATATTCATCTATTCTCACATATGATGACAACGATCATGGACACTTTATTGGTGAGGAAACAAAATGCTGTATAACATCGTTATCCCAGTTTTAGCCAAGCTTCCATCATATGGCTCTCACAACTTCTACCCTTACTGCATCACCAATAGTTTCTAGTGTTTGGATACACTTTTTTTTGTTATCCATATTGTCAACCTTATGTTATGGTACTACGGTGTGTTCATACTCTAGAACGTGCCATACAACCACAGATATTGTGTTCCTACTCACACCTACCTGTGTTTTCAACGTTATACAGCCACCTGATAACGTACGTATCCCCTTCGTGGAACTGCCCAAAGCTCTCCTCTGGTACTACGGTGTGTTCATACTCTAGAACGTGCCATACAACCACAGATATTGTGTTGATCCTCTGTCCTTTCCTGTCAATCTTGCTGAAGAATGCTGCAAACATGAACACATTTTGAAACTCCATTAAAATATCAAGCAATACAGTGTAATATACATGTATTTGTATGAATTTCATTGAATCAAAGCACTGCTTTACTGAATTGGTGCAGGTTTTTACCTAATTGATAAAACATATATATTTACATGTATATATTTGTCTTTAATTGTTATGTAATGAGTATCACCATTCTACTAAACAAACAGGAAGTTTTAATTTGAATTCATGCTGGTGTTTACATTAGAAATTTAGGTTAAATACAATTCAGAAGCAAATCAATTAGAATTTCATAGATATAAGTCCTTTTTATTCTCTGTACCTCAAATCAAATCAGGAGATAATGTGTTTTATAGTGCATGCAGTAAAATTATTACACAATCATTATTTTCTCCACATATTGAGATACATCTGCAGGAATTCATTTCAATTGTCAACAAATGTACTAAATAGGATAATTTTCACATAAGTAAGGCATTAAATGTTATTTATAAAATGTCTTCATGAAATTAATGAGATCATTTGGGCAACTCAAATCATTTGCAAATGGATTGCATGATTGCTGCAGAAACACGGATAATGCAAAAGTCAATAATGGTGTCTCTTAATGGACAAATCAAAACTGGGTATGGAAAATCGCAATGTAAGTCCGTAAAAAAAAATGAAGCAAACTTAGATTTTAAAATGTTTTCATGGCAAAATACATGCTGAACACAAAATCATATAAACAATATAATGATATTGAAGTGCAAAATGTTGCGGAATTAAAAATTGGCAAATGATTGCACAAAATAACCATTTTTGTAAAGAAAACAGGGGTAGGAAAAAAATTCAAAGCAAAACTTGACATTCCTTCTCCAACATTTTAAAGTAATGAAACATTTTTTTTTAAAACTCATCAGATATTTCCAGCAGGACAAAGTGAGACAAGACTTGTTCTAAATCAAACCATGGATAGAAACAACAGTCTAAGACTAAATAATCCTGAATCAAGTGAGTTAGTAAATCACATTTTCTATGTGCATTGAAGTCTACTGATGTAAATCCAAATAATCAGACACAATTTATAACTACTGGTAAATACATGTAAACTATCATATATTGATATTCAAAACCAGAGGGCAAATAAGAATAAGACAAGTTTGATGACAGCTTCTGTAACCAGACAACTGACAGAAATTCTATAGTTTTTCATTTTATATATCACAAACTAATAGACCATTTCGTAGTTAGCACATGGGTAAAATGATCCCAAATATCCACAGATCTTTTACTCATGGAGAAGTCCCACTTTGTGTATTATAGATTAATCAATGCCAAAGTCATGTATGTGCTTCATGAAAAGCTTTTGTTTGCCCTGTTGTATCATAGAATGTACCGCAGGTGCAACACATGAATAATGATTACATAACATGAGCACCTTTTCATCTCAGTGGGTTTTACAATTTTATCAGAAATGACCTCTATCTGCCCATGCGCAGATAGTATTTACGAAATGGCTTATTATCGATAGGGGCAGCCTGGTCTCACTTTGAAAAAATGCAGCTTATTTCATGTGCAGGTAAGGGTAGGCTTAATTAACAGCAAAGGCATACCTTGTATAGACTAACTTCCTACTATAGTACTATCCAGAATATTCACAATCTCATGCAGACTATAATCTAAAGTACCAGTACCACAAACCATCTTTCCATTCTCGCTAAAACTATACAAAGTGACTACTGGGCACTGAAATACTCTTAAGAGTCTAAATTATGCATGCATTGCATACACAATACATAACATATAGAAATTCAAAAGAACCAATTTTGATACATATATTTACGCATTATATTATATTTCTGTTACAGTACATACTGATACCACATTAAATTGATATTATACATGTACATGAACTGTTCAAACACATTATCAGAAGAAAAAAATAAACTTTGAAAAAATTTTCATACCAAAAAAATCTTCCAGCATAACCCAATCTAATGTACAAATGATATGCAATCAATAGTCCATCTCAAAATAGATAAAGAGATTTTATTCATTTTCCAAGGAAGCTAAAGTTACGAGAACACTGAAGAAAGTGCAGTTCATGCATAGAAAAGCATGTGTCTTTTAAACAGTTTGCCACAGGTCTAGTAAAGCTTAATTCCAAGCACTGCCTTTAGGCACAAACAAATCTGAGATAGAAAGTGATTAAACTTAATCTACGTTGGAAGATGCTAAATTCATATTAAAGGTAACTTTACAAGTATATTCAAGAAATTAAAACATTTTTTGTGTACAATCAATGCATTAATTAAATCATATAATTGAGTCAGAATAACGGAGTACCAAATACTCCATTATGTAACCTTTAAACATGAATCTAATCCATCTACTGAAAAAAAATTACGAATAAGGACATAATTCAGAATAAACAAGATACATGTCATACTGACAGAAGAGACATATACATGTAACATTACATGTGAAATCAGCTGTTAAGAAAATAATAAAATAGCATAAACCAAATTGCAAAAGGAAAATGAACAAAATAGCTGCATTGAAGTGAAATTAGCAAGTGAGAGAATTGAAAATAAAACAGAAAATAGCACCTGTAAAAGTGGAATATATTGATATTATGATGCTAATTGTCCACAAAAAGCATGCACATGTCGTAGGACACTAATCTCATTAAATTTGTCCTCATTTTGCCCAATACTGAAAGTTTGGGAAAGTTGCTCTTTTACAATTTTATCAAATGTTCCACTTTAACAGTTTAAGTTTCTACGGTAGGTGAAACAGATGTAGTGAAACAGATGTAAAGAAACAAAAGGACAAACTTTAGCTTGAAATTGAAAGTAAAGAAGTACTGATTGTACATTAAATGGTGAAAGCAAAGTAACTACTACAAGAATCTACAAAAAGATGTGCATCGTGGAAAGATAGAATGAGATAGATGATGTGAAACTAAGGTAAAAAATTAGAGAAGAATTAGTGAAAATCACCTGGTATTTCAATCTCACTATCATTTGAAGTAGCCAGTCCTGATGCAATAAATGCAATCAATCCACAAAGTGAGATGGTTACATCATCATTTTTTAAATCAAGATTAGAATTTTGTGCCATTAACATAAGCCCAAAGAATCACGATGGTGTCAAGACGAATAGTAAGATTTTTTTTTTGTAAAGAGAAGAAAAGAGTATCATTAGTAGAAATTGTATAGTGTCAGAAGAAACCAGCTCTCACAAAAACAATTTAATAATAAAAAGAAAATCTCTTTCTAAATCAATTTTATGAGATATTCTTCAATACGAGTCATGGATTCGGTCCTCTAATCAATAGTATAATTTATTTATCATTTATGATAACATTGATTTCTCTGTGTTTGCAAAATTCCAATGACAACTTTCTGACATGAATAATTTCTTCATATCTTGTCGGACCAATGCCCAGTCAAACTATATATCTAAAATATGCAACGTACCATTTATCTTGATGCAGATTTTTTTCTTTCACTTGTACATGTGAGAGCTGGTTTACATCACAGTAAAATATTTGGAAAAAAAACTATTAAGATGTTTAACACACATAGAAAAGAAACTGTTAATAAAAATATTAAAACACACAGTTAATCCTTCCTTAAATGTGTGATTCCTTGTATAGCCACTTTAATATCTGTACGTAATTCAACATATATGTGTATTGCGAATGTATCAACCATTATGGCTTTAAAAATCTCATTCGGTTCCAGTAACAAGATATTCATACGTATAAATTTCATATTTGACCACTTTAAATACTTTCTCCACTCTAAAAAAGAAAAAAAGCTATTATTCCCATTACAAATTTCTACTATCTTGATTATCATTAGTACAGTAAAGCTTCAATCAAAAGTTGTGTTATGACAAATACATCATACTTTTTAATCAATGCTGAACTGTTAACAGTATAAACAGGAACCAAACTTTTCAAATAAAAGAAAAGAGTATCTTATAAACTTCCAATACATCTTTATTTCATGTCATATAAATGTTGCCTAGGTACATGTACATTTAGGATATACAAGTAACAATACGGTCAAGATTTAGGCCAACAGTGGTAGACATATTACAAAACAATCAACAATTATTTCGAAAATATCATCAAATGTCTATGTCAAAGGAATTTGCCATGATTCATTACTGAAAAGGTGCATCATGGCAAATTTTACAAATCTCATCGACCAATTTTCAAATTTTCAAATTATGTTACATGGACAAATCTGTGGACACAAAGTTTCTGAAGATATACTTTGAAAAATGTCATTTTTTTTATGAATCAAAATTAGGGTAATCCACTGAATAGGCTGGTTGAAACAACTATCCCAGGGCATAATTATCATTGAAAGCATATTTCGCAATCACAAAATATCATCAAATCCTTCATATTCTTCAGCATTTAATAGAAAAGAGAAAAGATTATTTCCATTGCATTCACTTCTTGAAGACCTTCATCGAATATAAAATCTAAATCATGTGTTAACTAGCACTCTTTTGGAAACTTTCCATTTAAAATAATCAAAATTAAGCCTTAAAAGGGTGGGTGTTTTTTTTTTTCAATCCAAGGTTGCACAAAAAAAAACAAAGACAACATTCCTTTTCACAGCAAATGAACAAACACACCACCATGCACTGTCCCTCTACAACGGATAACTTACCATCCCCTCTGCCTAGATTGGTACCTTCCAGTATAAGATCAGATTTCTCTCTGCTGGGTTGGATCATGAGTTTGGCATCAAACGGAACAAGCTCAGATATTGGGTCCGACTGCTCAGAAGAAAGAGAAAGAAAAAAGTACGGGGATAACAAAAAGGAAGTGTACTTTGCTATATGTAAGCAGAAACAAGAAGAAAGTCCTATTCTACTAATACATATTTCAAATACACAGTATTCACTATGATGTTTGATTTCAAACACACACAAAATAAAGAGTGGGGAAAAAGATGTGAAACACACTGCTTCAAACACAATCAGTTTTAAAAAAATGAATTGAAATTTCATAGCAATTACCAAGTTGTCTCTTTAAAGTGAACAATTATGTGTTCACATGTTGACACTTGCCAGTGTCCTGTTGCATAAAACTTTTTATCAAATGTAAGGAATTGAGTAGTTTTTCAAACAATTTGAGGCGTCAGTGACACAAAGACGTAACTCCATTTTGGCCATTTTGAAAAAAAGTGGTTTATGTTTCATTGAGCACTTTGGAGTTAACTCTGTTTCACTTAAGTCTTTGCGTTTCCTGGAAAGCTCACATTTTTCTGAACATTTTGATATTGAATACTCATTTGGGCACAATATGGAGTTACGTCTTAGTGTCACTGAACCCTTGAATTATTGTACATTGTTCTTAAGAACAAGTTATGTAAAACAGGGCCCAGATTCCTAACGATTGAGGAGTTCCCTACCTTTTGGTCTTCCTCCTGACCGTTCTTCTTGGATGAGTCTGTCTCCCTCGGCCAGTCAATGAACTTGTGCCGGAAGAGAATTGTCTCCATGTGCTGTGTAGCCTGCAGATTCAATACAAATCAGATACAAAAGTGTAATTCTCTACATGTACTGTATGAAGCATGTTAGTGCCTGTGAAATACTATACGAGCCTCATTGTGCAAAGTCAAGTTAAGGTAAGAAAATTAGAATTCAAATGCTTCCCAAGTTTCATAGAATTTACCATCTTTTATATCTCACTCTTAACCTACAAATACATTCCATACATGCAGCTACAATCATATTACTAGTGTACCAATGATCTTTCTTTCATAACTAAAGTCAAACATGGATTCACTGTGGAGAATGATACATTATTTTATTACTTCTACCCTCATAAGATGTGCTTCTCTGTAAAGAGAAGGCGTAGTTCTTGTTAAGGTAACAAATGTTTTCTTAGCTTTCTGATTCCTTTTGTTCTTATGTCAAAGCAAGAGTTAGTGGCTTTGTTTCAATTATTATGTATTATGGAGTCAACTTTTCCTTTTAATATCTTCTAGACAAATTCTTTCAAAATGAAAGTGTCAGATAAGTATTCAGTAATTTCTTTACTCATTTTGATGACATACCTTCCCGATGAGCGTCCAGTCGGGTCTCTCATTCTTCACCATGTTCTTGGTATCATTGGGATTGATGGGGTTCACATCGTAGTCGGAGTAGTCAAATCCTCGTTCCCGTAGCAACTGGGCAAGCTGAGCGGCTGCTTTCCTCTTCCTCTTGGATGCAGCCTTACCCCTCCATATATAGATCTCACTTCCAAAGTCAAAGACGAACACCTGAAAATAGAGAAAAATGGTATCTCAATAAAGAGGTGGAATGAACTTAAACTGGCTTTGTGCTATCAGTAGAACAAAGACAAGAAACATTCACAAATTCTTTAATTTCTATTATTGGTAAAACTGATTTTATATTAATGTTAAATACAAATGCATTTTGATTGTCAACAAGGATCATCTTCAATGTTCCTTTCATCTCTCTCCTTAATCTACATCTTAATCATCATCCCCATCATCATCCTACTCTTCTTCTTCCTTCTCTTCCTCCTCACCATCATCATCATTATAACCACCACCGCCATCATCATTATCCTCCTCTTCTTCCTCCTCCTCATCCTCACCATCCTCGCCATTACAACCATCATCACCACAACCATCACCATCATCACCATCATCACCTATATCATCATCACCATGCCGGTACTAACCTCATTGGAATCCAGCATGTTGTACTTCCCAGGTGCCGCCCAGTAAGCCTCATAGGGCTCCAGACTGTCTCCTTCTACCCTATAAACCATGTTGGTCTCTGTGATGTAGATCTCGTGCATTTCATCCTCATCTGGAGCACCAACATCTGAGCAAAGAAAAGAGTGAAAAAGGTTGAAATAAACGGTGTCCAGATGCAGTTCAAAATTTATGTAGCAGTCCATAAACCACCTTTCATCAAATTCAAATTCAAATAAAAAAATTCATTGGTAAGCCATTAACTTGTTTATGTGTGTGTGTGTGTGTGTCTCCCCCCCCCCCCCCTCCCCCTTTCTGTGTAACGAACAATACACAATAGTGTATCCTTACCTGCCCATTTGACCCCTTTTAGAGGTGTTGGACAGTGACAAAAAAGAAGTTGTTTTGAAGGGAAAAATGTATATCTTGATTCTATTAAATTGAGATGATCTCACAATTTCCTCTTTTAACTCATTGCCTACGGGAACTGATTGGTCCCTGTACTACTAAGCATATGGGAGAAAGAAGTAAGTAGTCAACTGGTTAAATACTTTGGGATGTACCTTATTACGTGTAGGCATTGATGTCTTACTGTACACAGGTACATGCAGTGTATTTCTATTTGAACAACCCTAACTGAGTAAAATTTCTTTCCCTCAATTTGATCGAAATTTTTGCTTACAATTCATCACAGATTTTTTTTAAAAGAAAAGATGATTGCAAACATACAACATTTTGCAAAAGTTTGATGTCCATCCTCTTAGCTCTCACCTTTATATTTGGTCTCTCCTCCTAGTAACTCTGTGAACCTCTTCCATCCCCTGGAATGACTTGTCTTCCGTTTGGTTTCTTTGATCTCCGTCACAGAGGGTGCTTTACATCCTAGATCACGTTTCTGCTGTATATGCGCGGCGATCTCCGTGGCCTGTAAAAATTGATGGAATAAATTATATGAGATATTGCCTTGCACGTAGATATAGGTATCAGTGCTGATGTTCATACTCACAGACAAACCTTCGATATTAATCAGAAAGAGAGTACCGGTATGACGGCTTCAGACATTCTAAAACTTCAGTTTAACTGATATACACATACCATATGTTTATGGTTACTTTAATCCCCAAGTCAATTGAGGCTAACAGAACCTAAATCGATCCCCCAATCTCTCTCCAGCTTCAGCTACAAATGTTTAAATCCTGTGCCACTCAATTTTCTTTAAAAATGTATTCATTGTAAAATATGGGGTTTTAGAGATATATTTAATTTTTGAATTTGGATTCAATTATTTTCAATAGGACAAGCTTCACAATGAATATGTGCTTAAAAAGTATACATTTTTATTGGAAACCTTAAAAGCATCGTTTAACAATGTTAAATCTGAGATGCACGGCCCTACGTGTTTTCAGTTTCTGTGATATGGTGTAATATTGAAGCCCTACAAAAATTGCGCCTCAAAATGATCAAGAAGTGCCTCAAAAAGTAAAAAAATCTTGAGTGACCGGTTTTAACATACCGGTACTTGTTTTCCCCAATAGACTGTAGTGTTTGATTGATTTGAATTTGATTTCCAATCATAAATATCTTGATAATCAGACAGGCGATCGGCTTGTAAAAGTCATGGGGTTCCTGACTGACCTAAAGGTTTATAATTATCAGTGCAGCATTAGCTAAATTCAGGATTTTGTTTCAGAATCTGAGACAAACTTACCCAATCCCCATAAGTAGAACAGTTTCTTTTTTGGGTGAGATACATGTAAGCTGCCTTCAGCACAGAAGGGATTAACACAGTACCCCTGCCCTATTTATCTAATCCTGTAATCTGATCATCCCTTTCCCCTTCTTCTCACCTTGGATTTCTCAATGACGTTGGCATACTCTCCTATCCAGAGGAAGATCTCGGCAGCCGTGACCAAGATGAAACAATCCCCGCTGTTGAGTGATGTCATCTTCGGCTCCACCAATCGTACTTGGACAAACCTCCGACCTGTATTAAAGGCATCGTTTAACAATGTTAAATCTGAGATGCACGGCCCTACATGTTATCAGTGTCTGTGATATGGTGTAATATTGAAACCCTAAAAAAAACTGCGCTTCAAAATGATCAAGAAGTGCCTCAAAAAAGTAAAAAATCTTTGAGTGTCTGGTTTTACCAAACTCGTTAAAATCTTTGAGTGTCCGGTTTTACCAAACTCGTTTTCCCCAATAGACTGTAGTGTTATGATCGGCAAACGCAAAATTTGGTTTCAATTTCCAATCGTAAATATCTTGATAATCAGACTTGACTTGTAAAAGTCATGGGGTTCCTGACTGACCTTAAGGTTTATAATTATTATTGCAGCATGAGCTAAATCCAGGATTTTGTTTCTGAATCTGAGACAAAGTTACCGGATCCCATTAAAACCACCAAGGGCATGATAACCTTTGAGTGCTCATACTTATCTTGACACACAAAAGATAAGCACCTTGCATACTTTTCAATCCTCTAAGCTGCTTTTTAAAAAGCATCCTTGCATATTTAGCAATTCTCCAAACTGCTTGAAATTATAAACACTTGCGTATTTTCCTCAATCCCCTAAACCGCAAAGGACACCTCAACAAATTGAAAAACAGAATCAAGTATTGATAAGTCTTCATTTAATTAAAGATTTGCCAATAAGGAAAAGGGATGTTCATTCCTTCACATTAAGAGACATGTAAACATATTGAAAAGTTTATTCCACTCTCAGTAATATGGAATAGAGAACACGAATATCATATTTTATCATAGTCTTGAAAACCAGACAAAAAATTAAACTGTGAAACTATTTTCTTACCTTTGACATGAATAAGCATGATCTCTTTGTAGGGTAATAGCTCTGATAAATTACCGCCCATTTCTCGTACATCTTTGACTGTTGTGAGCTTTGTCTTTCCTTGTGCGATGTCCTCTTTGCTCGCTAGACCCGCCCTTGCAGCTTTACTTGCTGCTTTACTGGCATTTTCTTTACGTGCTGCAAAGGAGAAAAGAAGTGGTGAACCAAAGGTAAGAAACGTGTGGGTGTCCATCTTATATTTTTTTTAAAACTACCATGCCTCTACATACATGGTCAACTGGATATGTTGTTGGACTGTGGATCACATTAGGGTTCTGGACCTGCCACGGCACTAACGTCTTTCCACCCAGGTGTGAAATGGGTACCAGTAGGAAGGAATACTTTTTTTTAAAGGAAGAAATCTCTCCCATGAAGCTTTGATCTAAACACAAAGAACAAGTCACTTCAACTAATTGCCCCCAAAAATCCTGCCCTCCAGCTCAACCAGCTCAGTCTGTGCCCAAACTCTTTCCATATCCAGGACTTACCCACCATTGACATTTTTAAAAAGAATCTAAAAACTCATCTATTCCAAAAACAACCCAAATAACTATAAAATAAGTTTGAATTAGTATTACAGTGCCTACATTATGTCTTTTGAATTAGTTGCCATTAGTAATATAATGATATACATGTAATATGTGAACTTCCAAGGAATTTACATGTTATGTTAATTTCTTTAGTAATATTAGTAATGTTTAATCTTCTTGGTAATTTAAGTAATGTTAATTCCATTAGTCATATTGATTTTTCTTGAAGTAATCTTGATTTGTGTACAGCGCTTTGAAACTTTTATGTCACAAGCACTATATAAATTGTTTGTATTATTATTATTATTATTATTATTATTATAATACTTGTTAACTTACAATCTGACTTTGGCTTCTTTGTCTCTGGAACCTCGGCCAGTTCTATCCTCTCCTCTGTGTATTCAGACACGATGTTAGGCCTGGTCTTCATCGTCCTCAGTGGGTTAGCGGAAGGTCTGGTCCGCCTCTGTGGCCTGAGGGATCTTCTGTGTGCTGAGGCCATACCAAGGCTAAAAGGAATCAAAGATTGAAATACAATGAAAAGAGTTCTGATTACAACTACTAATTTCAATAAAGAGGGCTTCTAAAGATTGTTTAAAAAAACTTGTGACTCTTTAGAATTGATATATAAAATAGCATTAAACTGCAGTCAAACCTTGAAATAACCAGGAAATAAAAAAACAGGGTTGATAGACAGGTGGTTTAGGAAAATGAAAGCTTTAATGCCGTATTGATAAATGTGAAATGTATTTTTAAAAATCACTACTGCAAAGTGTGATCAGCGTCATCCCTTGACCACTAGAAAAGAAATGTGCACAGACCTACTGGCATGCCATGTTTTTCAAAACTCTGAGGTAAATTTTGTTTAAACAAATTAAATTAAATTCCTAACTTTGACCCCAGATGAAAGTCTACATAAGTTATAAACTGAACCCAAACCCAAAACCTAATGCTATAGATACCTAAAACCCTAATTGCAACCCCAGCCTGGCAATGACAAGATACATGTAAAGCCAAACCAAATGATGGGTAACTGGAATTGAATCCGGTTGTCATTGAAAACATAGACAAATAACAGATGAAAACCCAAAGAAGATTTACCTGTGTCCAGTGCCTTCTGTTAAAGCATCAAAGTCGGACACTGTAAGCTTTAACGTTTCCTTCTTCTCCACCTTCTTGGTGATGCTCTTGGAGGTAGTCGATGTCGTTGTCGGCGTGATCGTCTCATCCATGAACTTGGTGGAGCTTGCGTAGAAGTCTGTGAAGCCCTCATCGTCCGGCTTCATCACCGTCACCGTTGTCCTGATAACCCTGAAGTCTGGCTCCGAGTCTTCTGATTCAGTGGTGGTCGTTGTTAGGCCGCTGCTCGAAATTTCATTTCCATTCTCATGTCTCGCTGTTGTAGAGAAAACGAAGCCAATTTTACCAAAATTAATCATAAAACTTCAACAAAGGATACCTTTTAATATTGTCCTAATAATCTTAACAACAATGACACTTAATACACATTATTTGAAATCATCAGTAACAAAAACTTGATACCTATATACATGATGGTATTGGTACTTCATAAGTGTACTTGAATTTGTGTGTCAAGTTACAGTGCTCTGATATTTTTCAATAAAGTCATGATTATTTGTGAAAAAGGGCATCAGAAAGTCTAAATTCACATTTTATCATTTATTGTGGTTTTGAACTAAACGATATCTATGGAAACATGCCTTAATTTGTGTTGATGTCACATTAATATCTCTGATTTCAATGTTTATACACTTTCACCCACTGCTGCATGCTTCTTGTAATGTTTGCAGAGCTCTGGTAGGACAAAGAAGTTAGGAATGCAACAAATCCAATTGTAGTGCTTGATCTCATAATAAAAGCAATAATAAACAAATTTCATTCATATAAAAAACTTACATGATTGTGAATCACTGTTGATACTGTTATCGCTATCTGTTCTCTTGATTGTTACTGTAATGAAGGAAAAAATATATCAAAATGCACATTAAAAAAATGAAAAATAGATATGACAAAATTGTCTTTTGATAATGTATGTCTATATTGCGAAGTGGTCATGTGGAACATATATGAATACACTAATGCCAAATGGTATTTTATATATATAACAAATTGCCTGCTTAGAACAATATTTCTTCTTAGGCAATTTGGGAGAGTAATACATGTAGCAAGATAAGGAGAGATAAGGTAATTAAAATTGATATAAGTAAAGAATGGACAAAATTAAGGAAACATATGTAAGAATAAGAGAGGTAAAGCAAAGGAGAAACCTGGAGTATGAAAAAATGGGAAGAAAAAAAAAGGATAGGGAGGAGAATGAAAAAGGCTATGAACTGAAAAAGAAGAAAATACAAAAAGAAAAATACATGGGAGATGCTAAAAATTTCTGGTCTTTCGCAGATTTTTTTCTCTAACCAGACTAATCATTTCCATAATAATTAAATTAATTAAACCTATCCAAAACATCAAATACTCACTCCTAAATGATCCAGGTCTGGGTTTGCGATTGCTACCAGCTCTCTTGAGTTTGGTCTGTGGTTTCGTCTCTGCTTCCTCAGCACTCACTTTACCCGCTTGCTTTAGTTTCCCGCTGACGGTGAAGTTATCGACATCCTTCTCTTCTATCCTCTTTCTCCAGGCTGTTCCATCTTCCTTGAGGGCTTGTAACCTCTCCGATATACTACCCTGGTTGTTTGGTAAGTCATCAGCCTACAATTTAACATAGAATAATCAAAACAATAAGAAAATTATTGAATATCACTAGATTTAATGAATTGTGCAACATTACTTGACAGACACTAATACACTGTAACTACATGGATCAATAAACCATCTTTAAATGTATCTTGGTCATAAATGTATACTTTTCTGACTTTGGTTTATCTAGTGTATAATTCATCTTCTTACAAATCCCTACAGCTACAGCATAAACATGTATATCATACAATGTATCCTGCAATGGAAAGATTAATGTATGGGTTTTATCACCACCATCCTTAAAAAAAAGGTGGAATTGTTGTTAAAATTTTCAAGGATATACATCAAAGGATATACCTCAAAGGATATACAACTATACAAGCCTATTGGATTGTTATGGTCTGTTTACTCCTTCTCTGTTATTTTCATTCATATAGAAGTCATAGAAACCAATCATTTTGATGATTTCTTGTATAAAAGTTGGATGACGTTATTCAATCTGTGACAAACAGTTCTAGGACTAAAGCATTCTTTCCTATTGACTAGAGCTAATCACCCATGGTACCAGTACTACCAGGTCTCGTTCAGTCTGGTAAACTGCAACTGTTGAATCTGGGACTGGGTTCATCACCCTGTATATTACTCTATTGGAATTTGATATTATGGTCGAGCTCTTTAATCATAACCCTTACCAATATCCTAAAACAAAGTTTACTTGAGAAGGCCATTACTTACACAAAAACAACTTATGGGAATGGTTTTATTACCTCATTATTCGTCTTAAATTAGTTCTGGAGGTTTGAAAATTTAACAACCTACCCTACCTAGAACCCTATAATTCCTACTCCATAACAAAGTTCATTTGTGAAAACAAACATACAAACAAACAAAAACAAACCAACAAACAAACTAAAAACCAAAAGACAAACAAATAAATGTCACTTACACCAGAAGCCATGCATGGGATTTGGATCATAATTACCTCATTATTCTTCTCAAATTTGCTGTTGTGATTGAGCAAGTTTAGTCTTTCCTTCAGACCTGATTGGGGTGAATCCTCGTATTTGCTGATTCTCTGCTTCCATCCTTCCTCGCCATTCTTCTGTAGGGCCTTTAACCTGTATGGACAATGAGAGTCAAATTAAATGTTTGATCAGGGGTTGGGTGTCTGGACGTTTAACAAACATAAAGCCTTCTCATTTGCCTTCAGATTGAACAAAAAAATATTGATAAAAGCACTAACCATTATTACTATTTGCCTTTTATAAATTAGTCTAAGATAAGTCTTGAAAGATTGATAAATCAACTGTCCGGATACACAACCTGTTCGGAAGCACAACGTCTGGGTATACATATGTAGGTAATGATTTAATATGACAATATCATCTATAAACACACAGGAAAAGGAAAGAGAATGGTACATGTATGTTAAAATGCTATATTTGAGGAAGTATAGTGAGCAATTCCGAGAATAAGGTAGTGTTTGCTGCAAATATCAACATTTGTCCTTGCAATGTTTGTACTTTTGGTAAAAGTACTTGAACGTTATAAGTAGTGCTGTAGTCAAACGTTTCCGTTTTCAATTGGACGGTTTCGTTTTCCCGTTTTTTTTTTTTTTTTTTTTTTAAATTTCGATTTATGCCTCTCCACCTGTAATATGCCTGGCAATGTCTCCCACCTCAGTAATCTGTGTGTTGACTTACCACTCCGAAACTAGAACAACCATCCAATTTGTCTGTCATCTTGGTTTGAAAGTAATCTTTGTAATAGATCTCAATATGTAGTTTATTATAATAAGTCATCCAACTTTTACACACGGCGTACCACAAGGTTCTATCCTAGGTCCTCTACTGTTTTTAAGTTACATTAATGATCTTACACATTCTTCTAAAAACGACATTGTTACTATTATTTGTGACAAGTTCACAAGCACAAATCGGCGCCTGCACCTCGCAGTTAAAAAAAAAAAAAAAAAAAAAACGAATTGGAGATATCCGTGATGTTACAGCACTAGTTATAAGTCAATAAGTTGATCTGTATACAGGCCTCATAAAACAAATATAACAAATATAATACTAAAAACGTTACTTATAAAGCGCTTACCAGTTACCACCGAAGTCTCTAAGAATAAAAAGTGCTTTACAATGTCCCAGGTATGAGAAATTGGATGCTGGATGCTTGAAGCAGAAGCGATATATTATTCACTCTATACACAAATTTTACCAAAATAATGGGGCTGTCCTATCCGTGATCAAATTTCCTTTGAGAGGCATAAATCGTAATAAATGCGCCTAATGATCCTTACCACTCACTGTGCCACCCAGAGGGCACATTGGCAATGTAAATGAACTCCAAGTTATATATTTATACTTTACTATTCACCTTTAGAATGTACAGAAAATTTAGTACTGGTGTTTCAGAGAGAGAGAGAGACAGAGAGAGAGAGAGAGAGAGAGAGAGAGAGAGACACTGTAAAGGTGTTCAGGTTGGTAGAAGCCCAAACTACATGTTATGATAACCCCAACCAATGAAAGTTATTTTTGGTATCAGAATGTAAACCAATGAAATAACTTCTCTAGTATTTCATTTAAATTTATTTATTTTCATAACCAACTGAAGAAGTATGGGTAATAAGGACCGCTATCCTCAAGTTACAACGCATGACTAAATGAAAAGCTGTCTTTCATATAGCAGTCCTAGCAGACCCCACATTTTTACATGACCTAATACATGAACAAATATATCTGAGCTTTCTTACTTCTAGATAATTTTGCAGAACATGATATTCATAAATCGGTCCAGAAGGGCACTAGCACTGAAGCAGTTTCGACAGTTTCAAAAATAAATATTTGCCCTGGGCATACCAATCCCTCACAAATATCTTCAGCTTGCAGCAGGTAGGGGAGAGATCGAGAAATAAAATAAAACCTTCGAGATTCTGGACTACTCTGACACTTGACATGTGCACTCAACGATGATACATCTAACCAACAGACTTGCCTATCTTGGATATATCTGGCAGTCAGTACATTGTTCTTATGTAGACTTTCAGGATCTACCCGTCGTTAATAGTACCAGGGCAGTGTTTCACAAAGACTAAGATCGACTTTAAGTTGACTTAACTAGGGCAGGCTTTTCATGCCACTGGTTGCTCTGACAATTGGTCTGTCAATTACGATCTCTAGATAAAATTTTTACCTTCAATAATGAACTACCAAAATATGTCAATTCTGTAGATTTGTGACCATGATTTGTACGTCCCTTGAGAGACCCATGCCAGTAAATGGTAAGAGCAAACAGTGGCATGAATGGCCTGCCATAGTTAAGTCCAACTTAAAGTCGATCTTACTCTTTGTGAAACACCCCCCAGGTTCTCTGATAGACTCACCTATCTTTGATAGAGCTGGTGGTCTGTACCGGGTCCATCATCTGTCTGATCTGTTTGAGTTCATTGGGTGTGACCGGCTGGGTCTTGAACCTGTCCGGGTTCTGAGCCCTCAGACTCTGAGACGTCACCCGTTTGGGAGTCACTGGTTTCTGGGCTTCCTCGAATGCTGCTGGTATCGGCTGTGTCTTGTTTCTGTAGGTAACAAAAGAAAAAGATATGACATTGAGAGTTAAGCTGGCATTTGATATACTGGCTGATTGGGAGGGGGCAGGGGGAGGGGGAGGGGGGCAGGGGGGAGGGGGCACAGTGGAATTGTGCCCCCTTCTTTTGAAACCCAAATTACATAGTTTAGTACACATGTCTATGAATGTATTTTTACTTTGATGGGGGGGGGGGGGGGGTAGGGGTGATGAAATATTTATCTTCCTTTTCTTTCCTTTTTTTCTGGGTAAAACTATATTCATATTGATATATGTGGCTATGCAAAAAGGTAAATCAAAGCATATCAAAGTATATTACACACTTGCACAGAATCATGTCAAGAAATTCATTTTCTTGCTGGTTTTGATCAGGGGTTTCTTACCCCCTTAATGCCCCTAGTTGTTGTGGGTTTATCATATTACACATAGGAAGTTAGCCCCCTTGTTACAGGATATGATAACATGAGGTGAAGGCTAAGGTTCCATACTAGACCCCCAAACATTGCTGTAACAAACCATACCGAGAATGCACCATAAGATCACAACAATAACTAATCAAGTATTCAACTCAAAGATAATTTCAATACTGAAGGTGATGCAAAAGATTGTCGAAGTTGGCCAAGGCTAAGGTTTCATTTATATTAAAGGCTTTGCCAACATGCTAACATACCTTTGGGAAGGGCACCACACAATCATGGAGACTATACTGACATTTGTAGGGTCTGTATGCACTGCCCTCCCATTTTAAATTGTGAAATTCTAAGGGGGCCGGGGTTCAGATTTTGAGGCAAAAAGCACTATCCCTTAAAAATTCAGTATGAAAATGTTTTTTGAAGATTTATTAACTAGAATTATATGGTATGGAAAAAATGAAATGAGGTGCACACATGAAACAGTTTAGGGTTTCTGTCTTTCAGTTTTCCCAGATCTAGTTTCTCCACAGGGATTTGTTGATGAAAGATTTATGTAAGTGGGACAATATAACTCTACCAAGAGAAAGTCACATCAAATAATACCCCAGAGAGTGACTGATTACCAGACAAAAAGCTATGTTTCATAAGGAAAAGTTCTATTTCTACTTTTGTGCTTTAGAGTTGCAAGGAAAGAAGTATATGTAAATAACCAAAGAATTTCTAAGATGAGTGCTTGATGATTTCCTATAGTTTAACTAAATGAAATTAATGAATAACTGTGTCCGCTGTATAAATGAAATATCATTTACTGGTAGGCCTATAGACAAACCATTCACTGAGCATAATTTACAATAAAAGCACAACTCACTTAACAAAGTAAACTTAAAACAAATATTGTATTGTATATCTTCCGTTAACCATATTGATAAAAGTCTGTTACTACCATTAGCATTTTGATGACCTCTTTAAAATTTTGCATCACAATTTCCAATGCTAAGCATGAACAAAGATCACAGACTCATATGCAAAAATAATGGGAGACAAGATTCACAATCCATTTCTTTTGTGGAAGTTTTTAAAAAAAATATCACAAAAAATATCCAGCTCACTTCCTCAATAACACACTGTTCAACTTCGATGCTCTCATTATTTAGCTCACAATGTGTCATATTCGATGGAACAGAGGTAATAAAAATGTACAATGACTTCATTCTTTGAATTCTCTGAAGCATTTGTCACGAGGGAACCAGAATTTCTGAGATAAACTGTGACTTTCTGAACAGTTTCCAAGCCACAAACTATATACACTGTAAGGTTTTTGTATGCACCCTATTAGTCACATCCATGCTTTATTCTGCAAATCAGGTATCATCTATTAAGATCTGTAAATAGTGGTTTACAGTCATCCAACTCAAGTGGAAAGATAACCTTAATATGTATTACGAACAAACAACCAATTGTTTGTGGTATTTCATGGTAAAATTACAAAAAAGGATATGGAGATGGAAACAGATGCAAAAGATGGATCACAAAGAAGATAAATAGAGCAAAAAGAAAGGATATAATATAAATCTTGTTCTCTAGCTTCAAGCAAGGGTAATAACTAGAGAAAAGAAATACATGACACAATACTGAACGCTTAGATAAAACAACCCTTTGAGAAATGCAGTGTGCCACAGTATATCATGTTTGTGGCATATAATACTTAGAGTTAGGGACAGAATAGATGAACGGTAATCCTGTGTACTGAAAGTCCATAAATGATTTAAATCTATTTTCATTCTTCTTTTCTTCTTTTCTTTTTTTCTTTTTTTCTTTTTTCTTGCTGCTCTGTTATCTTGTTCAGGCAATTATACCCATCTTTTGAGTTCAGGGTAGGGCACATTATACACTCTACCGATTCCAGAAATGAAATTATCAGTGATTCTCGCCCAGGGCTATGGGGCAGCTGGTACGAAAGAAACCATTGGAAGATTCGGAGAGTACTCTGAACTAGGCAATACATCACTTTAGCACGGTACCATCACCAAAAATAGACTCCATGTAGATTCGATGGCCGGGGGAATAAATCGAGGTAGATGGAGAGAGAAGTGAATTGAAATGTCGTGTTCCATGTGACATGAACATTACTGGGCATGTATTTCGGGATCCCAGCCCGTTTGGGAGCATAAAGATTTTTGATAACGGAAGGGGTTATGTAGTACAGCCGATACCGCATTTGATTGCACAATCAGTAACGATGATTTGTATGGGTACTGTGTAGTGGAAACGGATGGCTGATATATTACAAAGGTGCAAGGTTTTTCAGATTGGTGCAGATTCTTTTTTCGAGGGGAAGGGGGGGGGGGGGGAGGGCTGAATGGTGAAGACAGGAAGTGAAAGAGAGACTGACAGACAGGTCGACAAACATTTGCAGACTGAGAAAAGTGTGAGAGAGTGAGTGAGTGAGAGAGAGAGATAGAGAGAGAGAGAGAGAGAGAGAGAGGGAGAGAGGGAGAGAGAGAGAGAAATAGAGGGAGGGAGCTAGGAAGGATGGAGGGCAGACAAATGGCCGATGGAGAGAGGGTGGAGAGAGCAAGGGATGGAGAGAGGTGAGAGCGAGAAACAGACAAACAGACAAACAAAGACAGGTATAGAGAAGGGGGAGGGGAAAGATCGACAGAGAGTTTCCAACAGACTGTTGTGAACTTCGCACCAGTTCCATCTCCATCTAGGTCTATCCCAACCAAACCAATACCAATTTTACAAAAGAGATGGTGGACGCAAGTAATAGATACTGGCTTTACATAAAAGCAAGAGCATGAGCACCAGGTCAGCACCTTCATATTGATTTGTAGGAAGATTGATAGCCAGGAGTAAAGGAAATGTCACCCCTGAAATCTTACCTTTCTGAGTTTATTATTGGAATTCAGTCGGGGATCAACCTGTAAGGCAGGGTTGTTTTCAGTTCAGGTTCATACAGGGAAGGGAAGGAGGTGTACGGAGTGGGGTGAGGGTGGTAGGGCATTACATTTATTTTTGTTAAAGTAATAATGGGAGTGAAGCTCTCAGAAGCTCTTATTTGAAAAAGGGCTAGAACTGTGGGAAAATATAAAAAGTTGTAAAATTGGATTCTTTTGGAAAAATCAGAACAAAATAAATGAGTCTTACACATAAGTAGAGAATACTGCCATGATGTGCTTGAGTTTTTATTGCATTTGAAATAACTAAAATTTCATGAGAGACAGTGACTATAATAGTCACTGATCTACTAAAGGGCCTCAAATGCTTCTCTTTTTCTTTATTTCATTCCATTTTTTAAATAAATTTCATATACCTGAAATGTTTACATATAAGGATGCTTCCAAATAATATGTAAAGAAATGGTTTTTATATTACTTTTATTTTACAGCCTGTATCCCCCTCCATTTTCCCAAACCTCAATAGCCTAACACCCTCATAAAACATTGCATATGTGAGCTCCGTTTCGGATCACATGCTTTTCTATAAACAGACAATAACAATCTCTTTTAAGGTCACCTTCTTTATTTGTTGCCAACTTGAAACTGCCTCGTAAATGAAAGACGACAATGCTGGAAACACATATATAAGAATTTCATCAAAAGAGCCACACGAGTGATCTATAAGCAGGAATTGCCTCATCATAATATCTGCTGAGAGGCAGAAGGGCAATAAATTGACTACTCTGACATAAGAATTAATGTCCTTCTTGCTCTTAAAAGATAAAAATAGTCAACAGCAAATTGTGATGTGAGTAGCCTTTTCAAGATAAATAGAGCAGAAAACAGCTGGGATTTAAACTTTTTCGCTCCACACAAATGTGACAAAAGACAAACTTTACTGTGAAGATATTGATATGATAGAAATACCCTCATCTGATACTCCACATAAATGAATTCTACTTTAGCTTTTCATCTATAATTGGTTGATTGATGCCCAAACAAATTTCACTTCCTCAGTTGATCAACAGCTTTTCAATCCCCTCGTACCAAGTTTGAAAAAATGGGGGAAAGTACTGGAAACTTTATGGTTTCCCAAACATTTACATGTAACCATTCATCCTTTTGATTAGAAATATTTGAATTTATGTTTCTGCTGATCATGCACTTCATCATTATCGAAGTCACTCTTTTGTTCAAAACCATTTTAAATCCTAACAAGCCCTTTAAACTCCTGACTAATGTCACCCTAATGAAACATTAGTGAACGCTTGGTTTGTCAAAAAGAAAGATCAATGTTTACACCAGTACCTGACCTAGTTGTGACCTTACAAATTTGATTTGGGTCTAAGCGGAAGTTGTTGAACTCTATTATACTTAGATCATGGTTTCAGCTCAGGTGAAAGAGATAAATCCAAACTTCCGCTTTGGATATGATCATCTCCTTACATCAACACGGTGGAAAGATACGTTTAAGAACTTCTCCCTACACCGAACAAACTCTTTAGTTATGTCATTTTTTCCCCCTAGAAATAACTGAAAGTGAAGGATAAATTTAGCAATCTTTGTTCATGCATTTAACCTTCATTTGCCCCTCCGGACCCAGGACCATTTGAATAGGTAAATTATGATTTGGGAACTAGTAAGGCTAGGTTAATGCTTTCATAGTT